CTTCCCACTGTCAGAGGGCAGGGTTAGATGGGATTTTGGAACCAAGATGTTTTGCTGCATTGGAGATGCCCCTTTACACATCCAAATACCCTTCCATGACCTCCAGAAGGCCCCAGCTGGCAGAGGAGGGTCCAGATCATCCCAACTTCCTCACACACATCAGCAGAGCCACCCCAGCAAAGTTTGCAGGGGGAGGATTTGAGGCTGAACAGACCAGTTTGGGGCTTCTCTAAGACCTTTATTCCTTTTCCTGTCAGGCCAATATCAAACAGCTCAATCCCATTTCTCTTCCAGGAAGAAGGTTGAAAATCCAAGCAGCAAACACCAGGAGCTGCTTTTAATGAGGTGAGTTTGAAGAGCTTTTGGCAAAATAAGTCTGGAATTTGTTTAAGGCTTTGTGGTTTGAAGAGGAGGGAGATTCTTCTTCTTTATTTGCTTCCTTGTTTCAGTTTCTTAACAGAATGTTGTTCTTTACATGAGACATCTGGAAGAGGAGGGGGATGGAGGAACACAAGGAAGGGGTTGATTTGCCTCTCAAACCACTCTGGTCCTAAAATTGCTCAGCTCCTGATCACTACCTGATGTAAGAGGTGTCCCTCAGTCTGTCAATTGATTCATTTCAACTCTATCTGTGTGTTATTTTTGGAGAACTTCCTTATTTTTCAGGAATTCAAATGTATTTTCAAGGTTCTGCACCAGAAATCTGGCTGCAGAAAAATCACAGGATCATTTATCCCTTCCTGTCTGATTTGACATTGACTTTGCTTTCTGCTCTCTAAGCTCAAGGAAAATAAAGCAATATACAGAATTATCTCTGAATCTGTAGGTTCTGCAGATTCCCTGGGTTCAGGATGTCAGGATCAGATGTTGCATCTCCTCCAGCTCTCTCTTCTCTCCATTAAATCCCTTTATTCTCTGTTCTCTCTGTTCTCCTTACGCTCCCAGTTTTAAGAAGTCATCCCTCATCCACTGAGGGTAAAAACCACACATTCCATTTTTTCCATGAAGGCACAACCATTTTGACCTCCCTCCTAACAGAGAAGACTCTCAGAGAGTAATTTCTTGGGCTTTGACTTAGGAGGAAGCTCAAGGTAAGAGAGAGATGAGCTGGGATGAAACCCAAAGCCTGCCCAAGTTTCCTCTCCGGGCTGGGGAAGGGCAAACACACATGCCAAGGTCTGGGATTTCTGTAACAAACAGTGCCTGGGAGCAGCAGGGAGGAGGGAAACCCCTCTACCTCGGTCATGTCTCGAGTTTCTTTAGTTTCGAGTTGCTCCAC